CTATTAGGACCCCTAACGTCTACTACTTGACCACTGCCCCACTTTTCCCCTTTCAAGTATTGTCTATACCAAACATCTTCCGAAGGATTCAGTTTCCTGTCTCCTCCTTTGGCTAAGTCTTTCTGGTGTCGTTGCACCTTATAAATCCTGTTTTCCCTGTCTGGTTTTAAAATATCTAACTTAGTGCGCAGTCGTCTACCTAACAATAACATAGCGGGACTCTCGCCGGTGGTTGAATGCTCCGTATTCCTATAATATAGCAAAAAAGTTTGTAGTGCCCTGTCTACGTTTTGTTTTTCCTGCACCGCTTTCTTTATAACCCGCTTCAAGGTTTTTACCGCGTTTTCAGCTAAACCGTTCGAAGCAGGGTGATACGGAGCCGTGAAAATATGATCGATACCGTGACTGCACATGAAGTTATTGAATTCTATACTTGAGAACGGGGGACCGTTGTCCGTCACGATTTGTTTGGGTAGTCCCCAACGACTGAAAAGTTCCCTTAACTTATCTGTTACCCCCGTGGCTGCCGTACTCGCTACTTGATAGATTTCTAGCCATTTTGACATCGCATCGACCCCTACCAAGTACGTTTTTCCAAAAACGGGCCCCATAAAATCTAAATGTATCCTTGACCAAGGACGATTGGGCCATTGCCACATACGAGGCGTCTGTTTTGGCGGAGCATCCGCTTGCGCCGCGCATATCTCGCACTCCCGGCATATCCGCTCCACCGCCTCGTCCACCCCGGCCCACCAAACATAGCTTCGAGCTATAGCCTTGGATTTGACAATGCCCATATGAGGTTCGTGAATCATACATAAAACTTTTTCCTTACAGGCCTCCGGAACAACTAGTCTATGCCCCCACATCACACAGCCTAGTTCCTCATATAATTCATTCTTTCGATTAAAAAACGGTTGTAAACCCTTAATATTACATTCCCCTGGCCAACCATCCCGAATATAGCTAATAACCTTCGAAAGAATTGGATCCCGAGCGGTTTCATTTTTAACTTTATTATAATCTAACAACAACGATTGCTGAACGAAATGCAAATACGTTTGCTCGGGCGCCGCATGAGTCATCTTACTAAACGACAGCGGCAGACGCGACAGGCCGTCCGCTCCATTCACAACGGTACGTATGTACTCAATATCAAACGAATAAGCGGATAAAATAATTGCCCACCGTTGCATCCGACTCGCTACCATAGTTGGTATACCTGTGTTCGGTCCAAAAATGGACACTAGCGGCTTGTGATCGGTGCGCAGAGTAAAATGCCGACCGTACAAATATTGATGGAATTTATTTACGGCAAATATAATCGCTAATGCCTCGCGATGTATCTGCGAGTAGTTTTTCTCGGCGTCGTTAAGCGTGCGTGACGCATAAGCCACGGGGCGCTCGCGACTGCCGTCGTCGCTCGGCTGCGACAACACGGCCCCTATCCCTCTGGCGCTCGCGTCGCACGTTACTATAACCGGCCGCTGGGGGTCGTAGTGAGCTAATACTTCCGCGCTGATTAATACATTTTTGACTTCAACAAACGCGCGCTCACATTCCTTCGACCAAAACCAATTTTGACCGTTTTTCAGTAATTGGTATAATGGTACGAGCCTACTACTCATGTTTTTAATAAATTTTGCGTAGAAATTTACTAAACCCAAAAAAGACCGTACCTCGGTCACGTTACTAGGCCTAGGTAGCTTAGCAATTGCTTCTATCTTTTTCGGGTCTGTTTTTACTCCGTCTTTACTAAGTACATACCCTAAAAACTGCACTTCGTTTACAAAAAATATACATTTATGATTTTTTAATTTCAATCCGTTCTTATGTAACCTGCTAAAGACAGCTTCTACGGCTTGAAGGTGGTCGAACTCATTTTTCCCGCCGATTATGACGTCGTCTAAAAATACTTCGACATTGGGGATGTCCTTTAACAAATTATACATAATACGTTGAAATATTCCAGCACTCGATGCTAGCCCGTACACTAACCTATTATACTGAAATAAGCCGCGGTGCGTATTAACTACGGTTAACTTTTTTAGTATCGTCTAGCTCTATCTGATTATAGGCTTGAGACAGATCAATTTTTGAAAAATATTTCGACCCACTCAACCTAACAATTAAATCCTCAACTCTAGGTAAGGGATATCGATCAACTAACAAAACAGGGTTTATCGTCGCCTTATAGTCAGCACAAATTCTCAACGAACCGTCAGCTTTGTTTACCGGTACCAGCGGCGAGGCCCAGTCGGAGCAGTCGACGGGCTCGATGACGCCGTCGCGCAGCATCGCGTCCAGCTCGGCGTCGACGCGCTCGCGCAGCGCATACGGTATTGGCCGCGCGCGGTGAAACACCGGCGCTGCCCCCTCGCGGATTCTTAACGTCGCCTTGCCGCCCGTGTACCGTCCCAGCCCTCCATTAAACAATTCTTTATATCTGGAAAACAAATTTTTCAATGGATCATCTAATTTACCTCGGTTACTCTGCAAGTTATGGCAGTTGGTAAATAATGGTAATTTTATTTTTAATTCAGATAACCACTGCCTGCCCAACAAGGACGTGGTTCCTCCTTTGACAACAAACAATTCTAATCTTTTTTTCTCTCCACCGTAACAAACTTCCGGTGTGATTAACCCTAAAGGTCTAAGTGACGAACCGTCATAGAACTTCAAACTAACACTTGTGTTATCTAACTTAATGGTACTAAAATATAGCTTATAAGTTTGTTCGCTAATGCATGACACTGCCGTTCCCGTATCAACCTCCATATTGATGACTTTATTATTTACAGTCACTGGCAAACTCACCGCCTTATAGTCACCTAAACATAGGTGATGAAACTCCTCTAATTGACCCCCGTCTTCATCATGCCGTGCCACGTCTGCCTGATGACAAGCGGTATGCCTGGTTGTGCGAACACATGCCGCGCCCTGTCCCGGACACACGCGTCGTAGGTGACCCGTGCGCTTGCACCTGCTGCACACGTATTCCCGGAACCGACAATCCTCATAACCGTGGCCTGTCCCTCCGCATCCGCTGCAATTTTGACTGCTAATTGCATCGGGCCTCCTTACAGCTGCAGACGATCCCGGCCGATTGTGTTGTGGCTGGCGGTCTCCGCGCATTCCGCGCCCGCCTCCCCCCAACGTTCTCCGCGATCCATTTTTCCCAATCACCAGCGAGTGCACCCCCGCCATATCTCTTCCTGATGTTGCTGACTCGGTTGCATCTACCGCCGCAGCGTTCCGCTCCGCGGCCTCTAACGAGCTGGCAATCTTTATCGCATTGGTGAAACTTAATGTGTCATCCTCCGCAAACAGCCTCTGCCGAATAACATCGCTCCTTAATCCGCAGACAAATTGATCCCGTAGACTTTCACTAAGACCGTCGCCCAGTTTGCAGTGACGTGTTAATTTTTTTAACTCTGCTACGTACTCTGCTATATTCTCATCCGCTGCTTGCCTCCTTTGTCTAAAACGATACCTTTCCGCTAACGCGGATGGTGCCGGCTGTAAGTGGTTGCGCAATAGACTAATGGCGGCGTCGTATTTTAATTCCGACGGATTCACGGGGCTAGCCAGGTTCACTAGCAACTCGTAGGCCTCATCGCCCATGACCGCTATTAGCGTGGGCAACTTGAGATCACTACTTATTTTATTTGCCGTAAAATACATCTCAAGTCTATCGACATACGACGACCACACCCCGGTTTTTACATCGAACTCGTTCACTTTTCCAATCGACATTGTCCTCGAATTAACTTGTAAACTTTTACTCACAACGATTAAAAACACAATAAAACTACGTTTTTACCCTCGTCGCCAATGTGATGTATATAAAAGCCGGAGAGAACACAAAGAACGTAACGCAATCTATAACAGTTTATTCCATAATGAATTCCCTGTATTATCTTAATTTACCCGCCACCTATATAATCAGTCTTAACCTACTACCCTACATTACAGTATATTATAATAAATATTGTGAAATAGAAGTGAGATATCCGCTACCTAGCAAAGCGTCGTATACAGTCTGTAACTATATTTTTGTTAAATAAACAGTTTAAGTGAAATATTAAGTGGTAAATGAAGTAGAAACAGTAAAATTGACATTTAATTAGCACTTACACCACAGAATACATCATAGAATACATAATAGTACTTCGTGCAGAACGGCCACTCAAATCCCCGCACTCATTTCAAATACCCCACCCCACCCCGCACTTAGTTGTAGACAACACTGACTTTTTGATTGATTTAACAATTTAAAAGATACCTTTAATTGTGTTTTTATTACGAATTATTCTTAGTTTTATTATAATTCTTACTCATCTACGATATCCTTAAGTTTAGAACTTCATCGTACTACCATAAATACGTAACTACTTACAATTAAAATTTCCGTTACGATACGATCATATAAGCCTATGTTGAAGCCGCCCCGCCGCGCCGCACCGCTTCAATGTCGGCCGCTGCACTTCCCTACTTAATTTCACACACACATTTGCGTGTGTACAAACGTCATTTCCCTATGTGTAGTAAAAGGTAATTAATTTGCGAATGTTGTATGGAGTGTCCGGAGTGTTGTAAGCACACTCTGGACACTCCATACAACTACATTTGGTACTACAATTATATAGCTGCCAAAGTTCCTTCAATATTTTTTAAAGTTGAAGCCTTGCAAAAAAATTGTCAAGAAAATTAAATTATTATAATATAATAGACAATATAATTATTATAAAACTTTAAATCAAAAAATCTAACACAAAGATAATTTATATTATATTATGTGTTATAAAACTTACGCTTAAGACTGATATTGACATTGAACTTTACATACGTGTACAATCGCCTGTTTACAATAGACACTGATCATCATGCGAGGCGCACGTGTTTTTGTTTTTGTGATTTGTTATCTTTTTTCCGCAAATGTTTGTGCCAAGAGATTCGATACCAGATGTAAGCTTGTTCGCGAGTTGTTGAAAGCTGGAATGCACCATGATATATTTCTTGGACAATGTAAGTTAGTCTAGTTATATGTTAGTCTAGCTATTTTAGACCGTCAAAATACTGAAACTGTATTTTTTTTGTTGAATTAGTGTGACAAGCGAGCACCACCTGATGGTAAGTGGACGATATGGCTCATAGACATCTAAATCTATCCTCCATTAAGAATTAAAATGCTGAAAGCATTGTCACCCTTGAGGACTAATATGGAATGCCTCGTATTCAGTAAAATGGGTCTGCGTTTAATTATTTATTAACATTTAGAAATAAGAACTAACAATGATTTTCGTTGTAAAGTGAATGCAAGTTATTAACCACATTTTTTTCTAAGTCCATACACAGCTTAGCAATAATAGCCTTTTAGTAATAACCTTAATAATTTAAAATAAAATTAGATTAAATTTTAATTTAAAAATATTACGATAGTTTTGGAAAAATTTTGTAAAGAGGAAGAGATTATGTAGGATTATTTTTCAAAGAGTAGCCAAATTTTAAACTTAAGTTCAAGTATATAAATATTGCTATACCGTTACTGCAGTTTTTGAAAATACTAGTAAATAAAGCTTTAACTTTTATTAGAAATTATTCCAAATTTAATGCCCCTACCGATCGACCCTTACGAATCTGTGCGTGCGGAGTAAAATCAGTTAAAACAGCATTACTATGCATTTTTAATTTTGAAATATAAAAAGGAATGTGAGATTTTTAAATTTATTTTCTTCACCTATTCTGAACTTTTTCTGCAAATTTGGCCGGTTATTGCAAAATAACCCTGTACATACCCAACTTACTGTATTTGTTTTTATAGAATATGGTGATAAACAGGCACACAGTCCACCTGATGGTAAGTGGTTGCTGTGGCCCATAGACATCTACATCTATCCTTGATTACGAATGAAAATGCAGATGCGTTGTCACCCACGAGGACCAAGATGGAATGCCTCGTTAAAAACCAAACACAGTAGTAGTTTAAGTAATAGTAGTTAGTTTTACGCTTGTATTCTGCGAAATCGTGGTCCTACCCCGGTCGAGCCGACCCATTCGAGCTACAACTATACTACTAATATAACTGCAGCATGGCTCCACCACGATCAAAAACGCGTTGTCACCCTTGAGGACTAAGATGGAATGCCTCGATTCCAGTAAAACGGGTCTCCGGTTCTCTACACTCACCATACGAAACACAGCAGCATTAAACTACTATTTTACGCTGGTATACTGTGAGAGCGTGGTCCTTCCCTGGTCGAGCCGACCAATTCATGCTACAACCATAATATAGCTTAAGCGTGGCTCTACCACGTAAGATTTAATTATTGTATTGTGATCGGTCTTGGATACAAGTGCACATTGAAGTAATTCGGCCGTCCACAAGTTGATGAAATTTACATCGAATATTTCGTTACATAGATAAATAAATTGATAAATATGTAGTTACACGCGAAGCTAATAAAAGCGGTTTAAAAAAATAACGTGTATTTTATTTAAATTTTTGTATCAGTAATGCCTTGGTATCTAAGGCACTTACTTACTTACACATTGTCTCACAGTCACCCCGAAAATTTGCATAATGGAATAACTTAGACTTCATTGTTATAGTTAGATTTTTAATAAGCTCAATACAAAAAAATTACATTACTCTTAAACTTTCTGATTAATAATGGAATGTAAATAAAATATCAATAAATCTGGTTCCATTTTTAATCGCCACTTCTAGTTAATTGAGCTGTCGATTAAAATAACTATAATGTAAGCTGTTGCTCTATCTATTACGTTTTACTTTCTTTATTTTTCGGGTAACATTTGCATTGTTTCTGTATTTTTAGAAGGCTGATTTGAAATTTTGACAATACTTACAGCGTGTTTATTAACAAATCATTTATACCCAATTTAATATTTATATAATTTTGCACAAACTTTCCCTGTACATTGCGTCACGTGATTTTTTCGTTGTTTTTTTGGAAGACACTGCTGCCCATCTCCTGGTTTGCTTCCTTTCCTACTCTCTCTACCTCCACCATCGTTAAATTTTACTGTAGCCCCGTTAACTTTAAACAAAAGTTACAGATGCGCTTACTTCACTCATGAATGTTAAAATGAAATGCTAGAAAGTCTGGAATTACACTGGTTCTTATATCTTCTTATCTCTTCTTAGAAAAAGAGTTTCAACATCTTGTATCAATTTATTTTCATCCAGCACAAACAGTTCACGGCTGGACATAGGTTACTGTCAATGTGGGTAGGATTTTCTATAATCGACACGCTTGGGATTGTCAATCGCGGTACTATGTCTCGCACCGTTGACTTAGCTACCCGCCTTCACTGGAAGGTGACAAAGCCAACTACGAAAGTTAAGCGAAAATAAACTCCACTTTCACACGCTTCAATGAGTCGAATCAATATTTTACAAAATTTTCACTTTGGGCACGTATCCACTATTCAATAATTCTAAAACACTTGGAAAATATCTCTGCTCACTCATCACATTCTCATTATTCAACTCAGAAATCTCGAAATTATAAACTTTGATGCATCCTATTTTCTTTTATCTTTTTTGACATGAAGGGAATATGGAAGGTGGGATAAGATCGATAAGTTTCTTGAATTGAAATGTCAAGTGTTTGGCAGGCATGAGCGTAGCTGCATTGTTGTAGTGCCAGATAAGGTGCATGTATCTTGACTTTGGTCACTTGTCACACCACGACAAAAATACATTTAGAGCACTTAGAAGTAAAGTTACAGCCTATATTCACTGCTGGGCTCGGCCTCCCTATTTCTGAGGGGTGAAATATTTTTTTCTTATTCCTCAGAATGGGTTTAGTCTTCACGCGCATGTGGTAAATCAGCCTTATTGTTTGGCCATTGGAAGGCTTCTTAGAGCACTTACTACTCCAAAAATAAATAATGTCGTCCAGACCAAATATCAGTCATGGCGGCCTCCCTCAGCGGAAAATAGCCATCTGGTAAATGATGAAAAGTAATAGAAAGGGTTATTTGAGAAAGTCAGTCTTGTATGAATCTCGTATAAAAATGGTCAATATATTCTAGTTTGTAGACTACACCATTTTTCCCACAATCCCATTAACTCTTACTTTCCCCACTGCACCCAATCGTACTTTCCCTATAACTTCGACCCCTAAAGAATAAACTTTCTTAATGATACATATATATGTAATGCATATCGTTTAGTTATTGGATGGGCATGCGGCAACGCACCTGTAATTTCCCTGGTGTTGCAGTTGTTCATGGGCGGCGGTAGTCACTTAACATCAGGTGAACCGTATGCTCGTTTGCCCCACTCCTATAAAAAATTTATAATATTATTGACAAATGAGAAATACGAGATTCATCAGCAGTTTATAACCGCTGTAATGTAAGACTAACAAAGAAATATACACGGAGCACAACAACATTTCAGGTGACGCAACACATCTTTTTTCCTTTCTTTCTTCAACAACCAGTAAATGTCCACTGCTTGACGCACACATATGAACCTAAAACCACGCTAGTTTTTGGAAAGGGTTTAAGACGCGTATATTTGTGTAACTGTGTTCTTACAATTTAAGTCGTGCATGGTTACGGCTTGATTAAAGCATCACTCGGAGTATACGTAGCGCTTCGCCTGTCTTTCTTTGTTTATCTGTACTTTTAATATGAAATTAATATATTTAAGATATAGAGTAACAAATATCTTTTAATTACAGGGGTATGTTTAATAGAAAAAGTCAGTAACCGAGACACTAAAGCATTCATTGTTACTCCCAGTGGAAAGAAATACTACGGATTGTTTCAGGTGATCTCATTTAAAATATAATATGAGGCTTAAAAAAATTACTTTAAATCCATCATAATTAGTCTAAAAATTATATGACCAAGATGTGTACTTCTTTTTTATTTACGTTGATTTTATGTGGCTATGTTTAAGTTAACAAACAAGGTAATAATCGCGACAAATGTGATTAACTATCAACTTACAGAAAGCGAATTAGTACCGCACCAGATATAGTGTGTAAGACGTGTGATGGATATGCAATAGAATCTTTCATTCCATTTCATCAGATGGGTGTCCTACAATATGGCTATGGGAAAACTTAACAAAACTCATAGTTTTCTATAAAGACGGGAACGGCGTCAAAGGTGCGATACTTATGCCAGCGGAGATCGTAAAAGAGAGTGAAGAAATGAATAATTCAAGAATATTTAATCACTGGACAAATTGTATATGGTGTTATTCATAAAATACACCATAGAAAATTTTTTCAGTGAACTAAAGACAATTTTAACGACATTGGACTTTAATAATTGCATCGAAACTTTAAACAAACGAAATACATCGAAATACAATGAATGCAAAAATAAACAAATAGAAAAATACCAAAAATTAACGATCAAATCAAAGGCCAAACATCCAAGTCAACGCCAGAATGATACACAATCGTTGACCATAGACACAAACTATAAACAACGCATGATCTATAATTTGTCAAATCATGGACGGACTGGACAATGAAATAAAAAGTATTAGCGAAAGGAATGAACTTCGCATTAACACCGCTAGAAATCGCGTACGAAGAAATTATCTGCAATGTCGGGGATTGTCAGTTTAAGAATAATATCGGCAAGGAAGATTTGGAGGCAATACGTCAAGATATTTCGTTCTTGTTACGTCGTAGTTCAGTGCTGAAACCGAACCTTCCTAAAGACGAATTTACAGCGATGAATAACTTACGAAAGAGACCAGAGCTCACGATTCTCCATGCGGATAAAGAAAATGCTACGGTAATAATGGACACATCGGAATACGATTTTAAAATACAACAACTTTTATAGGACGAAAGTACATATAAAAAGATCAAAACAGACCACCCAACACTATTACGCTTAAAACAACTAGCGATTTAATAAAGAAATACTCCGAAAAATTAAATCTCGACGTGAATTCGCTAATACAATCATGCACCAAACCGCCGAGGTTGTATGGGTTACCGAAGATACACAAAGAAAACGCTCCACTACGTCCCATAGTGAGCCAGATCGATTCACCAATTTATAAGCTGGTACAACACTTAGCAAAAATACTATCCCGACTGAAAGACCATACCAGAGCACATACAAAGGATTCATACCATTTTCTGAGTGAGATATAAGACCTACATCTCGCTGACAATGAAACTATGGTCAGATTTGATGTTCAATCACTATTTATATGCCTACCTATTGTTTACTATATCTAAATTGTAACTAGGTAGCTAGAAGAAAACAACATGACTCAAGAATATGCAATATTACTTGAAAACTGCCTCACATCTGGCTATCTATTGTGGAAGGAGGAGTTCTACAAGCAAGAAGATGGTATGGCGATGGGCTCACCTGTGTCTCCCATAGTTGCCAACATATTCATGGAGGATTTTGAAGAGGAAGCTCTTCTTACTGCTCCTGTAAATTCAAGTTTCTAAAAACGATACATAGACTACGCTTTCACAATTTTTCCCATCTGACAAAGTAACTACATTAGATTTCATAAATCATAAATCCTCGCAAAAGAACACCGATTCCTACCAAGCAAGATACGCGAGGCTATTGAAATTAAAGAACATCCAAATTTCAATAGAGAAGATGGATGGGTGCTTCCATCTACTTGGGATCCTATAATTAACAAAATTAAGCCCAAACCCAAGCATACCACTGCAAGACTTCATGATAGTATAAGCTCGTTTTGCAGAAATCAGATCAAAAATTAATATTCAAAAACTGAAGGTAGCTGGACTAACTATGACATTGGGACGTCAAACATGTCAACCCAACCCCCCCGTGACCATGGGTGCTGTAAAGCACCCGAAACGTCGGGATAATAAAAATATGTTAAAGTTGTAATTAAAAGTGATAAAATCCGTAATTAATAGTTTTATTCAATATTTCATCAATTATTTTTCAAGATATATCTTATACATTTCTAGCGTTATGAAGGCACAGGAATCAAAATATTCGATAATACTATGAAGAAAGAAAGAATTATATTTTTACCTGAGATATAATGATGCGTGGACTTGTGCTGAGAGTCAAACTCTCATATTCGCTAAAACCGGTTAAGGTGCCTTCGTCGTTTGAATATTTGACCAAAACAACATTACTTCTATTAACATATTCCACCAAAATAGGCCAAGTATAGGTTGAAAATTTACACTCTAGTGAATGCCAAAAAATTTTACATAATAAAATTCTGTGTTTAACACTTCGCATATCAAAGTAAGCTTTCAAGTCCATATAATAGTATATTAAGTAACAAATAATTCAATTATTAGATCGTTTAGTGAAATGCCTGTCTGGATTTGGAACTATTAAATAATAATATTGTATAATAATATAAGAGTTACGAAACTGCTAAACGATTACCCAAAAACCAGAAATAAATCTCTGCTAGTACACTCAGATCAGTCAAGACATTTCTTACACTTTAATCAAAAGTTAGACGTAACCAAAAACATCTGTTTAGATTTCTTAAATATATTACTGATAATTGGGACTTACATTGATCAAGAAAATAAATAGCAATCCACTTATGAAATATAGGAAGAAGCATGACATTTAGGATAATGATGCGATATAAGATGTGTGTAAGCAATATGCTTTGATGTGTCAAAATAGATTTTAATAACGAATGGTCTCAATTAAATAGAACAAAAGTTTTTTTTTAATATTAACATGCTCGAATAATATGCCCCTTTAAAAATATATATCTATTTTTATGTAATATTTAAGTTTCTTTTCATAATAAAAAAAGTTTTATAATGATATATATTTGTTTTATTTTTTAGGTTAGTTAAGTATTTTGGTACATTATATGATTTATATTTAGCGCATTTGAAGCATAAATAAAGTAGGTACAATGTTTTGTGAGTAAATCTAACTCCAAGTGGTATACGTGAGTACTTAGTACGCAGTTTCCTAATCTTTCATTCTTTCATCATAAATTCAGAAACCTAAATATGAGAAAGTCATTCTTGTAAGAACGTCGTTCAAAAATGGTCTTTCATTAACTTTCACTATCCCTATTGCACCCAACTGTACTTTTTCTATAACTTCAACCCCGAGAGAATATACTTTCTTAATTATACATATATATGTAATACATATCTTTTAATTTGATGCAGATTTTAGCAACTTTCTTTAAATTTTCAGATACCTAGCCGATGGTGCAGAGAAGGCAAAAAAGGAGGCGAATGTAATATTACTTGCGAATGTAAGACTTTTTTACTGTACGTTTTAAAGAAGAATGAAGAGAGAAGACCATAAAGACTTTAAACAGTTTTTTAGATGGGATAAATACGTACACATAACCAATTCACGTGGGTACACCTGCACCAACTAAAATGCCATGGTGTTACACGAAAACGCTTTCGCACACATCTGCTACCTCACCATCGCAAGCAAAAGAGGATACTCTTTTCCATCTTCACCTACTCAGGCAAAGCGCGTATTCCTACGCGGCCACAATCACTAAGTAACCATACTTTCTGACCCCAGTGGCAGATATGGTCTATGGCCACGCCGTATACCAAATATCGACCGCGAAGGGTAGGCAGAGAGATATCGATAATACTATACCCCGTGGCAACAGGGCGGCCTTGGGGCCACCGCCAGAGTCGCGGACTATAGTCATTTTGTTTTGTCCCGTACGTGCAGGAGGCAAAAGCGAGTTTAGCGCCTCCGCACGCATTACTGAAATGTGATGTGAATATAAGCCACTTAAAAAGATGGCTATATTTGAATGTCTGACAAGGACAGTCTCAGTAATCTTTAGTCGGTCGGCTTCATGATATTTACAATTGTTGACATTCACGGAATGAAAGCCAAACTATTTTAACATTTTAACACATTATGTAGTATATTTTTCTTCCTTTTAGCTTTGTTAGATGATGATATACGGAACGATATAGCTTGTGCTCTCAATATTTTTCTTCGTGAAGGTTTTAAATACTGGACACAGTGGGAAATAAGATGCAAGAATGACAATCATATATCTAAAGAAATTTATAAGTAAGTTTCATAATAATTACTGTCCTCTATATACTGATGAAGTATGTAGTAGAATTAAGAAAATTATGTAAATATAAAATATTAATATAGGCCTTGCTTTATTTGCGATAGACTTTCAAATGTGGTAATCCGCTGTAGAACTAGAGTAACCGACATAGCCTAACTGACCATAGTAACCTGAAGTGGTAATGGGCTGGTTTTATAGCTCGAAGAAACTGGTTGGCGGTTCTGTAGTGGCAGCCTAATACCAGTAAGGGAAGTCTAGGGTAGCCTCTGATAGACGGAGTGACAACATAGTAAGAATTGCAGGAAGTTGATGGATGTAAAAAGATCAGAACCGTGTTTCGTGACATTCCGTGTTGGAAGCCTAGGTTCAGCAATGAACTTGTGAAACGTGCTAATGATGATTATCATTATTCATAGATTAATAATGTGATAACATAAAGTTTGGACTATACTTAATATTTTTTCAGATGTCCTGATTTAATGTCCCATAAACTAAGCCCAGAACGCAGTTAATAAATTCGTAACTTACGAGAAGGTCAAGAATAGCGTGAAACAGATAATCAAGTTTTTCAATTTTCTGTATTCTATATTGGATCCAATAAAATTGCCTAATAACACCTAATTAAGCAATTTTTATTTTTGGGTAAAATACAATGCATACTTTTTATTTTTACGGTGCCGTAGGATAGTAGGTATTATATTGAAAATAGTCAGAATCCCATATGAATTTAATGAATTGCAGCTTTGAATTAAAGTGCTAAAACTTACGAACGAATTTAATTTACATATAAAATAAAAACATTTTTTTTAAATTCTAAACCAGAAACTAGACACTGACGCCCACTTATTAAAAGAGATCTCCTTTAGGGTTTGTGTGGCATCAGAGGTAACTGAACTAAATTAATGGCGCAAACATAGTCTCTAATAGGTGCATATATATTTGTGGCATTTGCTGTAGAGACTATCAATCCATAGATTTTACCGTGAAGTTTTTGAAAGACTTATATTCTTACTACTTGCTACACCATATCATTAGCTTTTCTTTCTTTTCTTTTAGGCTGTTTATATTATAGATAACAATGTGGGGAGAAAAGCTAGTAAAAATAAAAGATAAGCACACAGCCCATATTATGATGGTTGTCCAATAGAGTGCTCCATTGACTATTTAATTTTCTATTAATAAGATTAAATGCTTATTAACCAACCTTCATAAGTAATTTTATAATAAAAAAGTACAAACACACTTAAAACTAAAAAAAACATATACTTAGTAGTTTCTAAAGTTTGGTTTTCAATTTTACGATACACTACATCTTATCAATAACGTCATAAGCAATTATGTAGAAATTAATTTATTAATTTCAGGTTCAATATCGATTTGTACATGTTATTAAAATTTTAATTGTTGTATTAAATATTTGAACAATTTTTAGTATAAGGAAAATACTTACAAAGTAAGAAAGTAAAATACTTTTGTTTGTTACAAGCGGTTACCTAATACGGTTACACTCTTGCTAAGTGACACATAAATATTGGAAAGAAATAAACTGCATTGCCCCTAAAATCTTTACGGCTTGCTGCACATTGTAGATTTATTTTCTTCTTCAAAGTACTTTGAATGTGACAATGTTATAAAAGAAACATTTACTACGGTTATAAAATTAATTTGAATTATTTTTTTATTCTACTTACAGTAGTTCGCAATCTAAAATAGTTAAAAAAGTTATATTAATTTAATAAAAATCGTGCATCCTTATATGTTTCTACCTAATAGATATCAGCCTATTTCATATTTGAAACCATTCAAAGGAGTTTTATTATACAGGTATTATATCATACAGCGGCGTAAATCGTGAGCGTGAGCTATTGTTTCGATCCCCGCCGCCAGTAATGAAATTGCTGATTGCAATTTTAAATTCTGATTTACCACGTGCTCGGTAGTGAAGAAATTTACGTGAGAAACTCTGCACGTCGGAGGAACAAATATTTCGAAGATATATGAAGTCTATGCAGCCTGAAGTACTAATCGGTACATAGCCTTCTCAAAAAGAAAAAAGGCCTTTGACTGGACCGGTGGTGTATGTGTACTATAAATTTTCTATTTACTTTAAATACGATTGTGGAAGCGCAAGAAAACTGAAATAAATACAATACGTTAAACGTACCATATTATTTGACAGTGAATTGCTTGTTAAAACAAATACTTATCTTTCTAGGAAGACTCGATACTTAGTCTTAGTCTAAGTTCACTATCAGCTTGATTAAACGTTGATATCTATGTTAGTCAAAGAGTCAAGGCACGATTTTTTATAAGTTTATATTCTTTACTGTAATAATAATATACTCATGTGTATATCGATTATACTTTTACAGCTTCAGAACTTAGGCCGCAAGGGCATGCAGTCAATAAAGGTAGGTGTTCGAGTGTTCTGACCAGCTTGAAGAGTATTCATTCATTACGCGTTTTTTTTGTTTGTTTTGTTTTGATGAAAAATGTTTTTTTATGGCAATGAAATGAAATAAACTCTTGATATTAATAATAATTTACAGCATTTAATAATTATTAAAGTATTGCACTATTGAAAAAATCGATGAAGAATTCAGCAACCTAATATTATTTGAAAAATACTTCATGAAAATATAACCAATTAATTCCAAACTTGTCTCTAACTTGAAGTCTGATCTTTTTATAAGCGTATAAATTATATTTATAAAACAAAATTTATAAACAAATGTTAAAACTTTATGACAGAATTAATCAACAGATTTTTCTTCTATTGTATGAATAGATAAATATATTGACAGTTTTTATAATATGGTATAAGTGTACCTGCGTCCTATATCAACTTATAGTAATTTCACTGGCAAACCTATTAATAGACGTCTCGCACGACTTCCTGTGGCGGGTTTCGGTAAACATCTGTAAGATAGTGAAACCGTTACGTCCCTTACGGAATCCAAAAGATGTTTAAGCCATTTTCCTCAGTCGATTCGTACATTACCTACACGAGATTGGGTAGATTAGATTTAATTTAAAAAACCAACAAATTGAAACCTAGGCTACTACAATGATTAACAACGATATTCTCAATAAAATCACGGTAAATTTTTTATCTAGTTACATCATAATTTAGTAATTAGTTTAGTAATTAAAAAGGACGAGAAGCGATATTTAAATGTTAAAAAAAATTTAATTTATGCACAATTGTACGTTGGTACCTACTTGTTATATTATTATTTAAATCAAATAATATAATATAATATATTATATAAAAATATTATTTGATTATTTAATATGAACTATTTGAATGTATTTGTTTTTGTTCCTAAGAAAAGAAATATGTCTGCCTCTGCCTATATTTCATTAAATTATCCTATAGTAGGTAGTTCGGTAAATTTCAAAATTCTGTAAGCGGTCCTCGAAGAAGTATTCTTGTTTTTTTTTTTTTTTGAAAGAGCAACGAGGTGAAAGTGACAACCGCCGTTCATGAACATCCGCAACACCAAGGGAATTGCAGGTGCGTGGCCGGCCGTATGGAAAGGAGTAAGCTCTTGTCTTGAAAGTCCCCAGTTCGCATCGATCCGGAAAAATTGCCGGTGGTAAAATATTCCACAGAGAGGTCGTATGCGGAAGAAAACTCCTTGTCAAACATACAGTGGGTGACCGCCAAGTATCCAAATGGTGTGGATGGTATCGGGGGGTTTGCCGCGTAGTGCGTTCATGAAATTTAGTGGCTGGGATTAATCCGAACAATTTCTCAGAGCACTCCCCGTGATAGATGCAATAAAATACGCAAAGAGGTTCAAATTCTCTTCGCAGCTCCAGTGAATGGAGTTGATCGGAAGGCACTCGGTCGTCGATGATTCGAGCCGCTCTGCGCTGGATGCGGTCAAGTGGAAGGAGTTGGCACTGGGGAGCCTCAGCCCAGAGATGGGAACAGTATTTCATGTGCAGCCGAACCTGCGACTTGTAAATTTGCATTTTCAGGTTCCATTCTATATTACATAATTATATAAGAAAATTAAGTACAGTAGGTAATTGTATATTTTATTTTATGATATATCACCAATTAAAATTTCTAATTAATACTTATAATTGAAAACAAAACTGTTAAAAAGAATTCACTCGTTCCATTACACCTGCAATAAAAAACGTGAAGTGACTACAAATATTAACGTTGCTGAACTAGTTCAGAAAATTCGACGGCTTCACTACAAGAATACGAGTGCCTCGCTAATTGCTCGTGCAACATGTACGACAAATAATTGTGTTTCCTTTTACAGGGTATTAAAGGTGTGAAATGTAATTATTAGTTAAAACTAGTAACACTGTACTACCTTCCACGATTGCATGTATTATCCATCCATTTCTTTCCATTTCAGCCTATGAAAGCCCACTGCTGAACATACGTACACCAACAGATTGCCTCATACACTTTATATTGCCATAGTTGCCACGCCTGACATGAGGTTCTGCTCAATTTTTCATTAATTTGATTAAAGTTGAAGATAGAAAGTAACAACCAAAATATTGCTGTCCAACTTCTATTTTAGTTTCCTTCACCTCTTACAAGTGGACGATATGGAGAAGTGGATTTTCTTACACCGACACTCCATGGTAGGCATATATTAAAACTGCAACCGAACTTTACCTTCCATTACTACGCTCATCACCACTATCCTCAATAAAACTGACTAGTATACAAAGTAACACACTACCATCATAATACCTATTACCTATATCGCCCCGAATTAGTTGGAAAATAGAATATGAGAGTCAACCGCTGAGATTACTAACGCTATTGTTACAGTACATATATAGCTGAGATAAATATACTGCACTGATGCTGAGCTCACAGCCTTTAAAAAAAGCTCGCGACCTTTAAAAGATCGCAGCCTTTCTCAGCTCGCGGCTTTTCTCAGGCCTAAAAGGCCTGTATTAGATTAAGCTGCAGGAGCGGTATAATTGGGCGGTATCAGCACTTATCACATCACAGAAAATCGACTACACTGATGCAGTGCGAAGCGTTGTAAATTTGGTACATTTCCTCGAATCATGTTTTGTTTTTCATTTAATTTAGTTTGTACATACGACAAAAATAATATGTAAGTCTGTATCTGCTAGAACTCACGCTGTTATAAAACAGTGCTGGATGTTTCTGTAATTGTGAGTAAATTTATTATTCTAAGAGCAAATACAGATTTTTTATAAATTATAATATCAGTCTTTTTATTCTTTCATTATCAGCTCGTAAGATTCCACTGCAGGACTGCGGCGTAATACATAGTTAGTTATAATAAAAATAACTAAGGTCAATGCTCTGGAAAAAATGCTTCCCTTTTATAATTTTTTATCGAATAAGAATTAATGAAAACTGAAACATTGCAGTCGGTTGCGGCAAGGAACAAACGACCTACTACAATTACCGATCGCCCTTTCTGATCCTTACCGTTGTCCTTAAATTGGAAGAGTTTGACCTAGTTGTGACTGAAAATGAAGATTTGTAATTTACTTTTGACTGTTAAACTTATCTGTGGGTTATAAAAAATTTGATGACATTTCATTGAAATAATGAGAAGTTTCCAAACGCTTGAATCTATTGAGCCTATATAATATTTTAAAGTCTGTTAGCTAGTTCAAAAGCCAAAGAAGCTGTAGTGAACGGCAACGCAGGAAAATTAACGATATTTTCTCATTGCTATGAATAGAATATAAAAAAATAACTTTTATTCAGTATTCATTACAAGAACCAAGTTTATCAACATAGCCTTCCGTATTTGCAAGCCGAAGTGGCAATCGACTGTTCACAACTGTCGCACAAGAGATTACAATTACTTTATAGACAAGACGTGTCTTAGAGTGGAAATCGTGCTTAGTTAAAATTAATGTGCCCTGGCTTAAAGGACCGATGATCTGCGCGAAGCGACTGGAAACAACTGGATGCGTGAAGCAAAAGATCGGACAAAGTGGGAGGGGCTTAGGTTTAGCAGTGGACTACCTTTGATGATGGTGATGATACATTACAAGAATAAATATTGAAAGTCATTTGTACTTTATCCACTAGTGGAAAAACTAGTATGAAAATAAACAATTGTCTTGGGAAGAATCAGAAAGAAATCCGGCGGAGCTTTTTAATCTTTAATTTATAATATAATATGTTGAAAAATGTAATACGAAATCATTTAGAAATACATGTCACTCATTTTCATTGGTTATTATCAATAATCTAAACTTTAGTAGTATATTAAGTTTTGTTGGGTTTCTAAAACTTGGGTGGCGTAAGTCTGATTTCCGACGGATGACCGAAAAAACCTTATAAATGTTAGCAAATATACGTACACATAAACTTCAAGGAATAACACCAAAAATGTTAAAAAAAGGTTTGTGACCTTATCCATCCTAATGTTGGAGAATCGTAACTAGTATTCGATTGCATGATGTGATAAAGATTAATTAATTTACCGTTTATTATCATCAGCTCGTAAAATTCTGCTACTGAACCTTGGCTCTTGGGTTGGCTTGGAAGGATTTGCCTAAATTATATATTATTATTATTATTATTTTTAGAGGAGTACCCCTAACTAACGAGTATGTATCCGTAGGATGGATATGGATGTGAAGGAGGCGAGAGAGGTGAATCAGGATCGTGGTAATGGAAGTCTGTAGTCTCTGCCTACACCTCTGGGAGATAGGGCTGAGTGTTTATGTATTTATGTATTTGCTTAAATAGCTACGCTTTAAAACGTCTGGGCGTTTGGTGCGCCCTCGCAAGTATAGGTATTTTAATTGTGGCGTTAACGAGATGGCATTTCTAATTTGCCACTACCACGCAGCATAATTCATACTAAAATTTCTATTGTTTTTTAAAGAAATAAATAGTATATAAATTTAAATTTTCTATTGTTTTTTAAAGAAATAAATAGTATATAAAGTTTGCACGTCTATTTTACGTATGACTTAAACACTCCTGTAAGGCTGCGGCTAAAATAGAAAACAATGGAAAGCGGACAGTTTAGTTCTTTTTAGTCAACTAAACGTCAGCATAGTTCTGACATGACAGTTGAAGTTACAATAACAAAACTCAGTATGAAATTTAGAATGAAACAGGGAAAATTTTACTTATATCCTTTGGACGTAAGTGAATTTCATTAAGCTAAAATGTTTTAGTATAATATGTTATATCTATTATTTTTTTGAGGATAGCCAAAAATTATGTATTACAACATATTATATTACAATATTTCTTCTCTATGATTAATTACTAAGTATTGCCTTAATTATAAGTAACACAGAATGCATATATTATTTTAACATAAAATATTTATTTAAAAGTAAATATATCTTGAGATAATTTTTCAACTTTTATACAAAATTGAATATGCAATGAGCAATAAATAATTTAGCGCGACAAACTCCACTCTGCTCGAAACCGTGTGGGAAATAAAAGGAGGCCCAGCAGTGGGACGAATGTAGACATTACTTAATAAATGTACACGTAATTGGTTAAAAAAACGCATTTTTATCATTTGAATTAGCGGTTCGTTGACCTTGATGACTTAAACAATGGCGTGGGTTAATTGTCAATGTCTTTGATATAGAAATAGATTAAAATCGGAGTTAACATTGTGCAAAACCACAAATAATAAAATATACACGATACAAATTATCAAGAAGCATATATTGGACACGAGTAGCTTACACGTCAAAGGCATTATAGTATATTAAAAACAGTACTTAATAAATTATAGTGTTTTACCGATCCGGTACAAACTGAAAAACATACATCACAACACATCACAAAACAAGTTATCAAAAAGCAATAATAATACTAATAACATTGGACACGAGTTGCTCACATGGTTAAAGCATTATAGTTTAAAGCATTATATAAAAAAAATAGAACTTTACAAATTATATATTTTTTACCAATCCGGTACATGCTGAAATAAGCAGATATTCACTTTTGGAGCTTCTTGTAGTATCCGCTAAGTGATATCGATGTCTTGAAACATTTATAAAATTCGACGGAAATATGTTGCGTGGACCTGTCAAATTACATCATGCAAATAGAGTATAAAGGGAATAGTCGAACATGGGGACAGGTGCGGTCAACGCATAGCAAACTGCATTTCAGCGAGGTCTCTATATAATAAGTCCGATGACATGTATAACTACCGCGCTGAAGGACTGGCACTGATAATTGGTAATGCTGAATCTCATTATCAATCTATGAAATTTCTTTATAATCTATGAAAGTCCAGCATTTCATCGTTTGCAAGAGCTCCTTTCTTTCGACATGAAAAACTGTGTGCAAATAAGATTGTACATTTTGATGAGTCGTTGTTTCTTTATACACATCATTACTAACGGTAGAGTCACGCTGCACCTATAATATTGTTGTAGCACAATTAGGTCGGCTTGACGGGGGAAGAGTAACGCTTTCACAGAATAGAACTGTCAATTAGTGTGTTTCGTATGGTGAGTATAGAGTAACCCTTTTTACTGGAAATGGGGTATTCGATCTTTTCCTTTTTCAAAAGGGTGACAATGAATCAATTTTTAATTTTTAACCAAAGACAAATGTAGATTTTTATGTGTATGTAGATATCATCCACTTACCATCAGGTGGACTGTGTTCTCGTTTTATACCCTTACGACCTTACTAATAAAGATTTACACACGACGTATACCAGACTTATAACGTTAACATTACCAATAAACGAAATTTGACAGTTCAGTTGTATACATCTGTTATAACGAGTGTTTAAATTGTATGGGAAATTACGCAACCGTTATACAGTTCTCAACCTTTGTTTAAGACGTGTATAATCTCTATTTGACGTGTGGCGTTTTAGAAAATAATGGATTATTTACAATATTTCGATATTTTTGATGAAATCGACCGTGAGGAACCACCAAGAAAAAGAAAACTTTACAAAAAACGTTTAGATCCCTTTACTCTACAAGATAAAGAATTTCGAATGAAACATAGATTCAGTAAAGTATGTATGAGAAAAATAGTTGATTTAGTTCAACGTGACATCAAACTACAAGCTAGTGGTGGCGGGCTGTCTGTAGAACTTCAGGTATGTACTGCTCTCAGAACGTGGGCTAGGCAAGAAGTTCAAGATGATGCAGCAGACATTCATGGACTTAGCCAACAGTCCATCACGAATATATGGAAGAATAGCTCTTGGAATATATGGCCGAAGAATAGCTCTTGCTTTGGCAAGTAAAGCGGCAGAATTTATATGCATGCCTAGTACTTTAGAAGAGCAAGAACAAGTGGTTTCTGGATTTAGGAACATTTGTGGCTTTAAGCAAGCAATTGGTGCTATTGATTGCACACACATAAGGATTAAAAAAGTTGGAGGCGATAGCGCTCAATATTATATGAACAGAAAAGGGTTTTCATCCTTAAATGTCCAAGTAGTTTGTGATGACCAATTAAAGATAAGGGACATCACACATGATGCAAGAATATTTAGAGAAAGCCGAATCCGACAACGATTTGAAAATGGGGAATTTCATGCTCGTTTACTAGGAGATTCTGGCTACGGTTTAACAAATTATTTGTTTACACCAGTCCAGAATCCTCGTATCGCTAAGGAGGAATCTTACAATAAATCACATATATTGACAAGAAATACAATTGAAAGGTATTTCGGAGTTTGGAAACAGAGGTTCCGATGTTTATTACTTGGATTTAATGTGTCACTGGAAAATGCAAAATTATAAATTGTTGCGCTTGCAATATTACACAATATTGCCATTGAAATGAATGAAGGCATTGATTTTCTTGAACCAGTCATATCTGAAGATAATGGTGACCAACAAATGCTAAGGGAAGGTCTCGATAGCCGATCTGGTCAAGAAACAAGGAGATTATTCATCGGAACACACTTTTAGTTACAAAAATGTTTTGTTAATAAATAAAATAAAAAAATAAATAAAATCACTTTATTTCAGACAGACAGAGTCCATATAAATGACATACATTATAATAAATTTAATTTAATCTTATTCAATTTAACTTAATTTGATTGTTTAACATAAAAAACTATTAATTTAACATAAAAATTATGCTTTTGATTTTAAAAGTAAAATTTCTAATTTAAGTTTTTCAACACGAAGCTGCGTTTCTTCTTTTTCCAATAATATTTTTTGGATTTTTAAATTATGTTCCTCTTTAATAAAACTGAGCTTTTTTTAAATCATGTTCTTCCTTTATGCAACTGACAAGAGCATGATTGTGCTCTCTGGTTAAGTCTCTATCCTGTAATAAACATGTTATTATTAATCGCAAATCACTAATCCCATAATTTAGTTATACTTAAATTAAACTACTTATTAAAATTAAATTAAATTTTACCTCACGTTTGGTTGTGTGTATATACATTCATACGATTGAATGATAATTTCCCTTTTGTTCTATCTTTTTCATTTTGCATCTTGAAAGGTAGTGGTGTAATATTCTGGAATATTAACAAAAGTCATTCAGAATTCAAAAGATACTAATCAAAGTAAATTCAATCAACAAATTTAAACTAATAAACCTCTTGCACATTGTCATTATTGTCTCCTGGAGTGATAACATACTCTTGTGTTATTGTATTAACCGAGGACTTCTCCTGATTTTGAACCTCTGGATGCTAAAATAAAATAGAATATCACACACTGATGTCATAGTCGTAAGATATAACATACTCATTCTGATACTAAACATTGTGTTAGTGCTAAAACAAAATAATTAGAAAATATAGTATGAGCTCACTGTTATGCTGTCACTGTCGAAGACATTGAAATCCGTCTCAAATTCCTGTGGAATCATGCTCAAAATGTCAATGGTTTCCGGGTCTGGGCTAAGAGGTATAGGCGCTCCACCAGTACATTTGATGGATGTCTTTATTTGTGACATGTTTTTTTTTTGGTATCAAGTTTTATTGTGCGCCACTGTTGCTTTACTTCAGCCAATTCTCTTACCCGGCTATTCAATTCACTGAAACTGAAAATGTTTCAATCACAATATGCAAAGTTTAATGTATACAATATTAATAAAACTTACACAAAACTAACAAATAATAAACATTAAAAGTATTTAAATATATATTTACACCAAAATGAAAACATACTCATTTTAAAAACATGAAATTAAAATATCTTACATATACTATAATAATTAACAACTTATCAAATTATACCTAACAAATATCTTAACACATCTAGTTGGTTATTGGTGGTAACACTTAAGGGTTATTGTACTGGGAGTGTGACTGCGCTTTGATTTTGGATGTACACATTAGTAAGCGCCTATGAAATATTCTTACACTACCATCAGCTTTTTTAGTATTTTGTGCAAGATTTTATATTCATATTTATACTTAACATAAGTCCACAGATATTTTATGCCTACTCAAAGCACATGTTACTTTCTTTTGTTTCTAGCAAGTGAGTGTATATTCTTTTTTTAAATTTAATTTCTTAAACTGCAACTTGCATACAATAAATATGAAACAAAATTCATAAAATGTAGTATTTTACTAACCTTTTCCACTTGCAAGCAATGGTCTTACTTTTATTAGTATGTATAGTGTTTTTATTTTATGACGGATACAAACTCCTTCATACAACTTTTTAATAAACTCTGAAGATAATATACAAAGTTAGATTACAAATTATGATATAAGTAGATTTAGAACAATATTTTAATTTTTTCTCTCTAATGCATCCCAAATTGCTGACCGTTTTTTTTTGACAAAGTTTAAATTACTATTAGCCATTATTACAGAATTTGCGATGTGTTTAACAATATAGTAGCTATTAACGAATTATTAAACAACAAATTGACGAATGACGATTTAATTGGAAACTGTCTGAAAGGTACGTTCATAAACTTATGAGGATAATAATTTGGCTTTGTCAAAATAAAGTTTAGTTTTTATCGCTTAAAAATATTAGGTTATTTCTAAATTCAATTAAGCAACGTTTGGGGCTAAATGTATGTGTCACTAATTACAAAAAAGAGAATTTATAAGCTATTTATGTGTTTTCAAAATGTCTCTACAATTTTACAATTGAGTTTCAAAACGTTTTTGATGAATGTTGCCAATGGTTTTTGTTTTAGCGAGTTTATAACTATATAACGGTTACCCGTTATTGGTAAAGAGCGTGTGTAACTCTTACCCAATGCTTATACAATGTATAAGTACACACTTGTTAAACAGATGTTTTAGATATTTTTATTGGTAAGACTGTTATTATCTAAAAAGTCTACTAAGTGGTAGGAATCTTTTTCTATCTAGAAATTTGTCTGGGTACTTAACATACTCTCACCCATTTCAGCTGGCAAGCTGCAGTGAGGGCACTGCCATATTCTGGTCTAAACGGTATAGAGAGCCATTTATAATTACAGAGTTTAAACATTACATCATAGCCCTTAGGTGACAAAGTAACATTAAAAGGTGTTTGCAAGTGGCCATGAGATGTAATCTAAACGATCTAGTGAAGTATTTTGTAGTCACTTCATTTTTATATTATGTACAACAACTAAATATTATGTAAAACAACTAAAGTATTAAAGGTATAATTTAAATATTTTAGGACAAAACCGATGAAGAGGTTTCTAATAAAATGTAATTTTACCCCGGATTAACATATTCAATAAAATGAAATCGTCGTTAATGCTTAACTGATTCATGAATTTACATCAAAAAGGAGAAATAACTTTTAAGTCTGAATATTTTTTTAACAAAATAAGGGTGACAAACGGACACCCAGTTCACCTGATGGTAAGTGGATACTGTGGTTCATAGACATCTACATTTATCTTATATTACGAATCAAAATGCAGATGCTTTGCCAGCCTGGAGGTCTGAGATGGAATACCTCGTTTCCAGTAAAAAAGGGTCTCCGGTTCTCTACACTCACCATACGAAACACAGCAGCATTAATCTGCTGTTTTACGCTGGTTTCTGTGAGAGCGTGGCCTCACCCCGGTCAAGCCGACATATTCGTGCTGCAACCACAATATAGCTGCAGTATAGCTCTACCATGTTAAAAATACCATTTAAATGGTTCTTAACATTTGGAGTATTCGTACAATTTGGCTCATTCATTAAGGTAAATAAACACGTTATAGTTCATAAGTTCATTCATTACAGGCTATAAAAAGTCCACCGCTGAAAATAGGTCTCCCCCGTAAATTGCGTCATAGGGATTTGCCATAGTTGCCACGCTTGGAAATTGATTTGCAAGCGAAGTTTTCTTTTATTTAGAGTTGTTATCAGGAAGATTCTGCTGGCATCTTATGCCTCATTTCCCTCCGTCACCTCTTAAGACACCACGGGATGATATGAGGGCAGTGGATTCTCCTACGCTGCCACTACACGGCAAACGACGAACCGAATATCATTCCATAATATATGATCGTTAGTGCATCTGCTAGCACTTGGTTCACTCATACATTCCCGTAGTTATTATAAACGGTAACTATTGGATATGCTAAATATCAGTATTTTGGTCAATACTGAAAATTGGCGTTGTAGTTTTTCGACAACTTATGCTGTGTATTGACCTTTTATGGCATGGCTTATTGTACGATTGTAAATTAGTATATAGTTGTACGTCAATAAAGTGTGCCAAAATAAAGTCTTTCTTTCTTTCTATATCATAGCTTACGATAGATAGTGGTATAACCATATTACCGGATGTATAATACCATAAATACTATAATACATTGTATTCTGTGTATGATACTCAGATAAATTCTCTATACCACACAGTTGAGTTTAATAGACTGATGGTGAAGATGAAATTTATTTATTTTTAATTCCTCAAGATATTCTAGTATTTCCATAAATTTACGATACGTGGGACACTCAATAAGTTTTGAGATATACAAAAAGTATTCTAGATACTATTAATATTTATTTTACAACTTTTCAAAATATTCTCCATAATGCTCTATACAAAGTTTCATTCGTCTAAACCAACTCTGAAAACACTTTTGCCGGTCTTGATTCTGATATGTCGGAAATCACTTCGGAAGAAGCGTGGCAAGCAGCCGTGGCTGCCTACGAAGGCAGCCACGGCTTCTTCGGCGCTTCATTGAACACTTGCCTTTTATTTTTGCTTTAACTCTTGGGAACAAAAATAAATAACAAGGCACTAAGTTAGGGCTGTACAGTGGGTGAACTTTGAGTTAGAACACCAGATTCCTCAATAAATGCTTTTGTTCTAAGGGTTTGATTCCCCGAAACCAGGTCTTTGGTTTTTTCTCCCGCACATTTGAAAAGATTTGGATAATGCAACTGTAGTATGCCATTCAGAGTTGATTGACCTGCAATTTTCCAGCATTGACGTCGACAAATGTCCACTCCGCGAAAAAAAACTAGCCACCATTTTTTGCCAACGTTGCGAGGTCTTTGCAGTTTTGTCGGTAACTGTCCTTTTGAGTAGACCCATACCGATGATTGCATTTTATTTTCCAGATAATATCTATAGATCAATGTTTCATCAGTAAAGATTTCTGAAACATGCCTAGATGCCCCATTTTCAAAACGTAGACGCATTTCATGGCACCAGTCCTCACGGGTCTGTTTTTCGCTTTTGGAGAGCAAACGAGGGATCCATCGACAACAAAGCCTCCTCACTCCAAGATGTTGATATAGGATGGTATAAATGCTACCCGAACTAATGCCTACAATTTTTTCGATGTCCGTTTATGTAATTCGTAGTCCATACATTTTCTGCCGTTACTGCTGCTTGCAAGGCCCCGGTTCTTTGGTGATCTTTAAGGTTAATTTACCCATTTTGAATTCAGCAAAACCCTCTAAAAATTGTTGCGCGTGATGAAGCTGAGTCCCGTAATGATGATTGTTATAAACTTAATTGTTCAGTTAAACCAAATTTAAAATCATAGCTCACAAATTTTCACGGTTAAGATCCATTGTTTTAAATGAAAAGCGCGGGAAGCGTTTCAGGAAAATTAATAGATTTTTTTTATATTGAGCACTTGGCTTATGGAGTTCTATTTTGAAATATAGGAAACGGTTCATTTCAGGCCCAGTCTATGTACACTATACCGTAAAAAAGCGAAAAATTAACGGATTTCATTAAAAATACAATAAGAGAATAAATCTAACTAAATGACTTCCTAAAAATAAAAATGCAATCCCAATTTTTGATGATTTTACAAGATGCCGCCCTTCCACTCATAAAATTATATGTTAAATATCATGTCTGACATGTGACTTAAATCTTGAAATAATGTAGGTAGTCGGATATTTTTTGATTATTCAGAGCTTGTTCGTGTATATGTGAACTCTTAAATGCGTTTATGGTGTTTCTTTTCGATTACTTTGGCGATTTGATTTTTCTTATTTGGTCTTTGAATCTGTTACTACTTGTTTGACTCAGCTTTTATTTTATGGACTTTATGATTTACGTGAGATTTTGATTTCTATGATATCAGACATCTGTAGAATTACATTTTAGGCAGGTGTGTAAAAAATGATGTTTCCTTAAGTTATTAAACGAATTTGAATAACATGCTTCTGTATGTAATCTGTTAAAAATCAAAAAAAAAATAATTATTTTCTTCATAAGTTCATAATGGCTGCATAATATTAATATAATGTAATTATCTTTCAGTTCACCTGTTAAAACATGTAGCATGGTTTAAAATGTGCTTCTGCAATGGAAGAAAATGAGCAATTATTACATTGCTGGAGATTTGGGTCCAGAAATTATTACCATTCTTGAAAATCTAGGTCAATTGGTAAGAACGCACGTACTTTAATCATTACAGATTACTTGGCAATATCTATTCCAACGGACATGGCAGTTTTTACATATTTCAGTATTTAAATATGATTGTTTTCTTTTAGATGGATGAGAATGGACCAGTATGTTCACAATGTTTTGCAAACATATTGAAAGAATTATCTGTCGGTACAGATCATGAAAATGGTCTTCAGTGCCTTAATGATAATAGTACCAGTATATTGTGTATTTGGTGTCAACAGGTACTGGGTAGCAGAAGTTTTCACTCTGATGCAGATGGTTCTAAAAGATATTTTATGACTGAGAGGATTTTTCCAAGACAAGTTAGTATTTTTGTTTATTTAAAGGTTTACTAATCCAAATATTAATCATTTATGTTGAATTAGATTTATAAATGGGCACATAGTCCACCGAATGGTAAATGGATGCTATGGCCTATAAACATCTACATTCATTTTCGATTAATAATCAAAATCCAGATGTATTGTCAGCTCTGAGGACTATGACAAAATGCTTGGTTCTCTACACCCACTATACGAAACACAGCAGCTTAAAGCTGCCATTTCACGCTGGTATTCTGTGAGAGCGTGGCCATTCCCCGGTCGAGCCGACCCATTGTTTGCTGCACGTGGCTCTTTTTCTCTAGGATGAGGGTAACAAACGAGCACACAATCCACCTGATCGTAAGTAGTTTCTGTGGCCCGCAGACATCTGGGCACATCTATACTTGATTACGAATTGAAATGCAGATACGTTTTCACCGGTTAGGACTAAAACGGAATGCGTCGTTTCCAATGAAAGGTGTCTGTGGTTTCAATAGTCAGCATTAAGTTTCTATTTTATACTGGTATTCTGCGAGAGCGTGGTCCTTCTCCAGTCGGGCCAACCCATTCGTGCTACAAATTAATATACTATTATATAGCTACAACATGGCATTACGTGGTATTACAGATTATATTGTTACAGATATATGAAATTGCAGTGGCATGTCATCTTCGTTGGACAGAAACTCAACAAACATTACGTAGACAAGGAGTTTCATTTATGCCATCACCTATCACAATTGTATGTGTATGGTGTCTTCGGTCACTAGCCAACACACACAGGCACTCAATACTAGATGGCCCAGAACGAAATGAAATTATAGCTAGGATCCATCCTAGAGAGGTAATATTTTATGTATTTTCTAAGTCTATATGAACTTAGTATAAATACGTCTTTTTATTAATCTAACAGTATTATTAAATTTACTGTCCTGTTTTGAACAGATATTTGAAGTACTTTTCTAGTTTGAATTATTTGACAAATAAAGGTATGAAAATATAAATTACTAGCTTTTACCCATGACATTGTACGTGTGTAATTTGGTTTAAAAATCAAAAAAAGTTGGGATCTCTGTGATTTTCTAGGATAGAAAGTCTTCTACAGGTCCTCAACTATCATCATCATCATCATCATCATTACAGCCCTTCACAAGTCCACTGTTGAACATAGGCCTCCCCCAAGTAATGCCACAAAGCACGGTCCTGAGCCACCTGCATCCGTCGACTTCCTGCATGTCTTACCAGGTCATCACTCTATCTAGTGGAGGGTCGCCCTACACTACGCCTACCGGTACGAGGCTGCCACTCGAGAACCTTTCGTCCCCATCGGTTATCAGTTCTTCGAGCTATATGGCCGGCTCATCGCCACTTCAGCTTACTAATCCGTTGGCCTATGTCAGTCACTCTTGTTTTACTGCGGATATCATCATTTCTGAGTCTATCACGCAGAGAAACTTCGAGCATAGCCCTCTCCATAGCTCGCTGAGCGACCTTGAGTGTCATCATACGGCCATCAGTGAAGGACCACGTCTCAGATCCGTACGTCATCACTGGCAACACGCACTAGTTGTACAATCTAGTTTTCAGAGATTGAGGTATACCTGAGGAGAAGATGTATCCTAATTTCCCGAACGCTGCCCAGCCGAGTTGAATCCGTCGATTGACCTCTCGGTCGAAGTTGGACTTACCTAGTTGGACTAATTGTCCCAGGTAAACGTTTGTCCCAGGTAAACGTACTCGTAAACAACTTCGAGCATATTGCTCCCAACAACTACCGGCATAGGTGTGACATGGACATTAAACATGATCTTTGTTTTGTCCATGTTCATGTTAAGACCTATCCGTTGGGAGACACCTTTGAGGTCATTGAGCATAATGCTTAGTACTCCAGCGATTCTGCCATAAGGAGTATATCGTCGGCAAATCGAAGGTGAGTGATGTACTCGCCATTGATGTTAATACCGTATCCTTTCCAGTCCAGTTGCTTGAAAACGTCTTCCAATGCAGCGGTGAAGAGTTTCGGGGATATAACGTCACCCTGTCTTACACCTCTCTGCAGTTGGATAGGTTTCGAACTCTGGTTGTACTGGATTACTTACTGTAAAAAGACGATATAGTTAATTGACCCTGAAGGGAACTATGCCTAAAACTATGCCCAGGCAAAATATCACTATGAAGCCAAAGGTCTTTTACAGCATAATTGAATGACAAACCAACAAAGAAACGCATTATCGCATTTATAATATTAATAAGGATATTTTACAAACCTAATATTTTAAAAAATAATGAAGAAATAAAACAAATATATCTATTATTGGTGTCACAGAAAAACTGACATACTAAAGTAACATTAATCGTCTGTGACACTACCCAAAATGGCTGTAAAGTTGAGCGTACTGCCTTGCATCTTATATTAAAATTAGGTTACCACCTATTAAACTTATATTTGAAATTAAAATACAAAGTAATGAATGCTGTAATGTGCATTTATATGTAATTAATCATTTAAAATATTCTTTATAATATCCTACAAATTCCTATCGGCGGATTTGTCTGTTATGGATGCTGGGTTGCAGCGTATAGAAATGTGCAAAGAGCTACTAATGTTAAGGAAGGGCAGAAAAATCCAGGACCTTCATACTAGCATTATGATGCTGACTATGTGTGGTGTAAAATGTCTTTATTACAAAGGCACGTTCAAATTTAACATGAAGTCCCTGAAAGGAATATATTGGCTCAAAGGATTTATCCCATTAAGTCAATTAAATATGATGTTTTTGAGATTTTATACAAACATTCTAATAATTATTTTACTTAAAACAGTTTTGAGTTAAGCAATTTGTTTGTATGTATTAATCCTATGCCGTGTGAGTGACACTTGCCCTACAGCATTATTTTTAAAATTTGAAAGTTTAGTATTAATAACAAAGTTTGTTGTGAGTTTTTTTTTAGACAAAGGGTAAGTAATTACACTGTTTTTTAAAATTTTTGCTTATATTTCGTGTTTTAACAAATTTTTATTCAATATATAAAATTAGCATTTCAAATACCAATTTTAACTGACTGAGTCTGGATTATTATCAGTCACATACTCTTAAGTAATATAATAAACTTTACTAAACAAATTTTGCTTACTAAAAATTTAAACTGATTGATAATGAAAATGCAAGCGGGTTGGCATCCGCTATTTTTAGTCGTTATTAAGGAAACGCTGCTACCCATCTCCTTATTTGTTTCCCCCTGTCGCCTCTTAAGACACCCACGGGACGTTATGGGTACGCTTAGTGGGTACGCTTACACCGCCTCTACACGGTTTTCTTATAACATTTCAATAAAAGAAAACAATAAAACAAAAGAAAACATATATGCAGCAGTTGTCTCCTGAAAGGCTGTTATGGATCGATGAATAATGATCACGATCATCATAATCATAACCTATCAAGGTCCAGTACTGAAAATAGGCTTTTAACTGTTTTCAGCTTACAGTAAAAAGTCAGTCTTTATTATCGTAGACCCTTTGTTAGCGATCGTGTAACTTCTGAATGACGTGGCCTATTGAAGTAATATTTATGCAATATGTATATTTGTTTTGTCGAACTATAATTCCATAGCTATTCTGAGCTCCGTTAGGTGATGTTATAGTCAAGTAGTCAACATTTTTTTATATTAGTGAATCATAATAAATACATATATGTAATATATTATTTCGGTTCATTTCAGGATTTTTAGCTACCAGTAGTAGTTAAAGGTAATATTAATAATGTTAATAAGATTGCTAGTATTTTAAAATAAAATATAATGTTTCCTGTTATATCGATCTCCTCTTTGTACGGTGCTTTAAAGGTAGTTAGTATAAATTTAACTGTTAAAAGAGAAAATATATAAAAAATATACAATAAATAGCCATGGTAGCTCAGATGGTTAACGCTCGTTTAAATATAACAGAACGTGAGTAACCCGGGTTCAATCCCCGCGCCATCAATGAAATTGTTAATTGCAATTATAAGTGCTGATTTAGCATGTGCTTTGCCGTAAAGGAAAACATCGTGAGGATACCTGTATGTCTGAGAAATAAGAAAAAAAATATTTTCAATGACGTGTGAAGTTCGCTAATACGCATTGGGGCTTGCGCGGCAGACACATCCTTGCCCTAAAATCCTTTTAGAAATGAAGGAAGGCCTGTGCCCAGCAGTGGGATGTATATAGGCTGTAACTTTTATACAATAAATTAAATAAATAAAATTAACCGTAAAGAATAACATTATAATATTAAATTAGTTCATTCATAACAATTCAAGATTTCATAATTTTAGGCCATCTAGCTTTCTCATTCTATTCTCTTCATCTTTTTACGTATATTCAGAGCGAATAATTTTTATAGGATAAAAAGACTTAATCTATAGAAAAAATTAGTCGACGCTATTTAAAAGTATGTTGTCTTGGCTTTATTATACCAAAAATTTGCCTAAAAATAAGGATCATAACATTTATTTGCTATGGAGTTAAACTTTTATTTTATAATTTATGGCGCAATTTCGGTTAAAAATTATCATATTAAACAAATCATTTGCCATGAAATTTTTGTGTTATATTTAATTTGAAGGTTTCACTTGTACAACGCGTAAACTGCTTAACACGTTTTTTTGGTTTAATTTAATTTATTAAAGTCGTATTTTCTGAAGTAAAGTTATTTTTACACGTTTGAAAACTGATTCTGATTACACACTTAACGGTAACCACAGCATTTTTGTTACATATTGTGTAACATTTATTTTTAAACAAACGTTAGAACGTCTTTTCAGCCAATAATACTTCAGCGGTTTAATTTAAGGAAGTATTCCAGTCATGTTAAGAAAAAGTTGAGAGTCCACCCAATCAAAAGATTTATTGCGAGCAATGTTTAGCTGCGAACGGAAGAAATTCGATCGTGAATGATACTTTTCAACGCTGTTGATTAAATATACAATTTGGCTCTACATCTCAAAATATCAAAGAAAAATAAACGGACCGCTGCGTATAATTCTAACGACGTCAAAAGCATGCTAAATCCTGTCTATCATCATCATTTCTTTCTTTCCTTGTCTGTTTTCTTTCTTTCCTTGTAAGAAGCCAATAATACTTCTTCGGATTAATTGAAAGAAGTATTCTAGTCACGTTCAGGAAAAAGTTGAGAGTCCACCCAATCAAAAGATTTATTGCGAGCAATGTTTAGCTGCGAATAAATACACGTTTAGTATTTTTATTGTAGTTGTATGCTTTTATTACATAGTTCTTATTTTATGTAAAACAAGAGGGAGAGATGTATCAGGATCAGGTCAAATAGAAGTCTGTAGTCTCCGCCTAAACTCTTATAAGACAGGCGTGAGAGTTTAAGTATCTATCTGTGTTTATGTAGCAATGGTCAGAGAGTAAACTGTGCAGTAAATTTCACAATACTTTTAATAAGTTTGAAATAATGAAAAATGAATTTTGTCGCCATTATCATCGTTATATATCAAAATAACTAATTAGGCTCTTTTCTGAATAGCAGTTAATAAAATTTGGTACCCTTTCTTTGCACACCAATTTTGGAGCCACGCATAATTTAACCAATATAATCACTGGTTACGATGTTTTTCATCTTAGTCCTCTGACATGGTAACACATTTATGACCGTCTATGTTTGCAATTGGCTGGTTCATTGTCTGCTAACATTAATTGCAAAGAGTCCCTTAGAGAAAAATTAAAAAAAAACGTATTAACTTTGGCATCGCAATGTATTTATGAAAATTTACTGTATGTATATAAAAACCTAAATAGCTTTCATAAGAATAAAGATGTTCATACTTTAAACACTACGAACAAACATAAGCTTGTAACACCAGCTACAAGACTCCACAGAAATAGTAATTCATTTATGGGGCAATGTCTACGCTTTTATAACAAAATCCCAAAAAATGTACAAAATTTGTCATTAAACAAGTTTAAATGTTTTATTAAAAATTGCACAAAAAGGGTTATTATAATATAAATGAATACATAAAAGAAAATAACCCCTAGGAATGAGGTGATCGCCACAATGCTGTTTCTATAAAAATTCTTACAAAAATTGTACAAAATAAAATTATAGTAGTAATAATAATAATAATATAATCCCCACCAGAAGGCTTGGTGTCGGCTGGGTCTTCTCAGACTTAGCAAGCGGCACCCGCCGCTGGTGGAGCACGTCGCATGCGTTGGACAAAATTAATGAATGCAAACGCACTGCGGGCGTATTTTAGGGCAAAAAGGGGAAGAAACTGGATGTTTGGCGTATCGAGCTCGGATGCATCGCTTTTTTTGCAGAGCTGGAGCCATCTGTAACCGTCACCGAGCAAAACCTGGCAGACCGAGTTCGGTACATCCTGCGCTCCAACATATTTGGTGACACCGAACTTGAACGACTACGACGTGAGGCTATTCCTTCATCGAATGGAAATGCTACGGCTGGGATGCGGCGCCACTAGATGCGTAACAAACTGCATATGTGGATGCTGCCGTCAAAATTCCATTTGTGGATAATTCAGACGATGATGGAATAGTCTCTCACGAACTAGAGAAAATGACGAGCATATTGAAAGAGTTGATGCTGGAAACGCGCAGCATGCCTCTCGAAAATCGACCGCGACTTCCCTGCATACCCCTTAGCAAGCGAAATCGGGCTGTCGTGCGGGCTCTTAACCCAATGCTGGTGACCTATTTGGAAGCCAGCCGGGACCTTTGCGAGACGGACTCAATTCTTTTTGTGCGCCGCACTGGCAGTATGCCGTATTATTGGCGCCAAACTTCCCGTGGCTGGACGTGCTACTCAAAAAAGTAGAGCCATCCCAGCCTGGAGAAAAAGAATTGAGGACCGTATCGAAAAGGTAAGGCTGCCCTCATCGGCAGACTGACAAGCTTCAGGTCAGGTAATAATAGACCGAGAGTTGTACGCACCATTAGAATGGCGTTTGCTGGGACAAATTTTAGTTTGTCTCAGCCGGATATCACGCAAAAACTAACGGAGCGCATAGATGACCTGAAGCAAAAAATCGCTGCTTGGGGGAAGCGGATTCGACGATTTAGCGAGAGGTCAAGGCGATTCAACCAGAATCGTCTCTTCCAGAGTGATCAGAATAAGCTCTATAAATCATTGGAGCAACGAGAGGTATGTGGAGCGGGCCCAGGACCGGATCAGGCTGACACTGTCGCATTTTGCCGTGGCCTGTGGTCAGAGCCCGTAAATCACAGCGAGGCCCGTTGGATGTAAGTTGTGGCGAGCCAGATTGCAAGTGTTACGCCTATGGACCTAGTCACCATAACGCCTGAAGACGTGGCTGAGGCAGTCCGTAGGGCCCCAAACTGGAAAAGTCCGGGGCTCGACGGGCTGCATCATTACTGGCTGAAGCGGATCATGGTGTGTCACGCTGTGCTCGCCCGACAATTTCAAGAGGCTCTCGATCAGAAGTCGCTTCCGAGCCTCTTCACTACTGGGATCACTCATTTGGTTCCTAAAGATCAGGATACCACAGACCCGAGCAAATACCGCCCCATCACCAGTCTACTCACCATATATAAGACACTGACATCCATTTTGAGCGCGAGAATCACTCGTCACCTGGAGCTAAATCAGGTGATGTCACGCGCTCAAAGTGGATGTCGGGGCTGTGGTCGTGGAATCAAGGAACCACTCCTCATTGACGCGGTCATTGGCAAAGTGGTGAAACGCAACCGTCTGAATTTCTCCGCCGCCTGGATAGACTACAGAAAGGCATTCGACTCGGTGCCCCATACATGGCTAAAGAGAGTCCTCCAGCTGTACAAAATTGACTGTACAGTTGGAGACTTCCTCGAGCTGTGTATGGGGCAATGGAGTACGATCCTTTGCTATCTGGGCGAGCGGATGATGGCTGCGGAGAACCACATAAGGATAAGAATGGGTATCTTCCAGGGCGATTGTCTGAGTCCAATCTGGTTTTTACCTCTCTCTGAACTCTCTCAGTACTTTACTAGAGGGCTCCGGGAGGGGATTTCAGCTTCGGAAAGGAGGTACAAAAGTGACCCACCTTTTCTATATGGATGACCTCAAGTAATTCGCCTCCAGTCGCTCGAGTCAGACTGAACTTAACGCCCTGGATAGAAAAGTCCGCACTACAATGACGTCCCATAGGATGCATCATCCGAGATCGTCGGTAATGAGGCTGTACTTGCCGCGAAAGCATGTTGGGCGTAGCTTCCTGAGCGCGCTCACCATGCATAATCGCGAAGTGTGCAGCCTCCGTCATTACTTCCTGGCGAGATCGGATGATCCATTCTATAATGACGTCATTTCTAGTGATAAAGGACTTACCCCTCTATCCTTAGCCAACGAGCAATGACAAGTCCCGGCAGTACAGAGCATTTCCGACCGGGAGACCATATGGAAGGAGAAGGAGCTCCACGGGAGGTACTACAGGGCTCTACATAAGCCTCACGTAGATACAGTCGCCTCCCTCAGCTTGCTACGTTTCGGTGACCTCTTCGGGGAAACCGAGGGTTTTGTCTGTGCAATACAGGATCAGGTTATTAAGACCAACAGCTTTCGGAGATACATCCTAAAGGACAGCACTGTCGACGTCTGTCGAGCTTGTCGCCATCCCGGGGAGACACTTAGGCATGTTATCTCCGGTTGTTCGGCGCTTTCTAACTCTGAGTACTTGCACAGGCACAACCTAGTAGCCAGAATTCTACACCAGGAACTCGCTCTGAAATACGGTCTCATGGACCGAAAATTGCCGTATTACAAGTACTTGCCGGAAGCCGTGCTCGAAAATGACCGCGCCAAGCTCTACTGGGACCGGGCCATCATCACAGACAGGACTATTCTTGAGAATAAGCGTAATATTGTGTTGATGGACCGGGCACAGTCAAGGATATTTTTGATCGAAATTGCCATTCCGTATGACGAGAACTTCGTGAAAGCCGAAACAGAGACACGAACAAAATATCTGAACCTGGCTCACGAGGTGACCGACATGTGGGGTGGTATGCCGACCGAAATTATTCCTGTAGTCGTCTCTGCGAATGGGCTAATCCCAGTCAGCCTTTCGGGTCATCTGAGGCGACTGGGACTGTGACGGACCACTCTGGGCTCAAATGCAGAAAGCGGTGCTCCTCGATACCGCCCGCATCGTCCGCCGGTTTCTTTCTCTTTCCCCCTAACCCTCCGCCGTTTGGTCTCCCCTGCCGAGGGCTCCCATCTGGTTGGATCTTATTTATTTATGTAGTTTTTTATTTATTTTATTTTATTTATATTTATGTACATTTATCTTTTCATTTTAATTTATAATTATATATTTATAGAACCCAACCAGGTGAGAAAATTATATAGATACCCCAATAATAATAATAATAAATCATTTCAGTACAAAATTTTAAGAAAAATAATACAGAACCTAAATGGAAACAAAGAATTCAAAAACGAATTGACAATACTCGCAAAATTATAGGAAAATTAATTAACTACCAAACAGGTAACAGACGTAAAAAAAAATAATTACTTTAGTAAATCAAATCGCTAATGAAAATGATATTAGCTAATCAGATCCCCATTTTCCGGATAAAATTACTGAATTCATTGATACACAAAAACAAAAGTTAAAAGCATGGGCCAACCGTATTAGACGATATTCAGAAAGATCTTAACGGTACTTCCAGAATCGCACATTCGAAAGTAACCAAAAGTGAGTGTATCGATCTTGGGAGAACACTACAACTAAGAGTTGTACTCTCGGCAGCCCAAGCTTAAATGAATTTTTGGAAAAGTATGTGGTCTAACGAAGTTTCTCATAAGGAAGGCGAATGGATTCGTGCAAACGTAAGTTTTCTAATTTGGCTAACATGGGTTCTATTTCAATTACTGCTGAAGATGTACACTCAATTACTCTTAGAATACACAATTGGAAATCACCTGGACCAGATGGTATACACAACTTTTGACTGAAATGGATAACAAGTAGCCACGTGCGTTTGGCTGCACAGATTCAAGAAGCCATTGAGTGTTGTGAGCTCCCGAGACTTCTTACAACTGGTATTATCCACTTACTATATAAAAATGGAAACACCATTGAACCGAAAAATTACCGACCTATAACATGCCTTTCAACTGTATACAAATTAATAACTGCAATTTTGAATAACAAGATCTATAAACATTTGGAAAATAATAACATTCTTTCAACTGCACAGAACGAATGTCGGAAAGGGTCACGTGGTTGTAAAGAACTTCTTCTTATTGACTCTGCTATTTACCGACAAGTTTATCGTAATCGCAAAAATATGTCCGCCGCTTGGGTGGATTACAAAAAAGGCAATATAACTCTGTTTCACATTCATGGCTAAAGAGAGTTTTAGACATATACAAAATAGATAACTTTATTTGTAAGTTTTTAAGTAAATTAATGAGAAGATAGAAGAGAGAATAAGAGAGACACACACACACAAACAGGCGCGCACGCGTGCGCGCCTGTTTGTGTGTGTGTGTCTCTGTTTGTGTGTGTGTGTGTGTGTCTCTGTTTGTGTGTGTGTGTGTGTGTGAGTGAGAGAGAGTTTGTTTGTGTGCGTGTGAGTGTGTGTGCATGCTTTTGTTTTTTAAAGTAAAAGTAAAGTAAAGTTACAGCCTATATACGTCCCACTGCTGGGCACAGGCCTCCCCTCATTTCTGAGAGGGTTTTAGGGCAAGGAAGTGTCCGCCGCGCTGCCCAAATGCGTGTTGACGAACTTCACATGTCTTCGAAATATTTTTTTTTCTTATTCCTCAGACATGCAGGTTTCCTCACGATGTTTTCCTTCACCGCCGAGCACGCGGTAAATCAGCTCAGTGGTTAACGCTCGCTGTAAATTTGTTTGTTAGTGGGTTAGAAATTAGATTTAGGATTGGGTTAGTATTTAACTTTAGTACGTATAGTAATTAGTTAGGATTAGTGAGTAGCTTTTCAGTGTCATAATAATTTAATTTTTGAAACCAGATAGTTATTTTCTTTTTGCATGTTGTCTTATTGACGTTAAATATAGGGATAATTTTATTGATTTTATTGTATAGAAAACCTCCAAGGTGACAAAATAAACGTTTAGATAGTTTGGTGAATAGAGTTATATGGGTGCGGTCCACCGGGTTAAAACGCCTTTTACCTCGGGAGAGTGAGGGGTTGTATTTTAATAGAGCATGTTGTTTCAGTAAGGTTCTTTGTATAAACAGTTGCCGCACAGTTAATATTTTCAACTCTTTTTATAGGAGCTCTGTAGGATAGTGATAACATAGCGAAAAAGAGACATTTAAGATGGCTCCCTGCGTTCTCTCCAATTGGAGCATTTTTGATTTTGGGGCACCGCCCCAGGAGGTAATACCATATTATGTTAATAGAGATTGAGCCAAGGCAAAATATACGGATTTTTTTAGTTTATCATCCGCCGCGTCTCTCAGAGTTTTAAATACATATATTAATTTACG